GGTCTTGCCAATTTGGCGACGCGGTGGATTATAAAATATGGTAATAAAGTAAAATCAATCTACGCGTATGAAACTTGGCGATTTATTATACGATGGGAATAAACGCACACGGCTCACCAGTTGCGCTATTTCATGCGTCGCTTCGATAAGAATTAAAATGTGTAATTTGAGTAAATGTGTAATTTGTAATAAACCCAATTCTCGACATTCTCTTTCCCTCTCCCTTTCTCTGAGAATGCATTTTAGCGACACGATTCTTCTACTTTCACAGAAAAAAAAGGACATTCTTGTTTTGAAAATATATTTAGTTTTAATATGAAAATCTTGAAATGAAATTATATTGCGTTAATTTAAGAAAAATATAATTGCTTGAATAATTGCTTACTTGAATGAAGCCATTTTATATACTTCAATCAAGAAAAATATATTCTTATGATTTAAGATTTAATTTTCTTGAATGTTAGATAGAAAATAATATTTTTAAATCAAAGATTATAATTTTCTTAAAGTAGAATTAAATAATTATATATTCTTGAGATGACAATTACAATATTAAACTGAGACTATAATATTGTTAAAATTTAAAATTATTAAATTCTTTTAAGAAGATTATAAATTATTGGGTATATACAAAACAATGAACGCGTTAGTTTAAGTATATAAGTTTTGATTTGGCATTTATTATTTTTCTGTGTTGATTATACATTCGTACAATTTATATATTTTCTCGAAAAAAGCACGAGTGTAATTAAAGTAAAATTGTCTATATCAATTTCAAAGGATGCAAATATGAGCAAAGCGGCATTTTTTAATATTATCGCGCTTTTTTCCTCTTCTCATTGTTGATAAATGACGCGTCACGCATCTCTCGTCGAAATGAGCGATTACATCGCGTTACGAAATAATTCTCGCGCGATTCCGTTCGAGTAATTAGCTTAAATCTAATTGTGATTATCATCGTTTGACGTCGCTCGATTAATATCGACAATGACTCGTCCTCGCGATTTCCTCACATACGTCATAGAAAAGATCCCCGTATCGATTATTGCGTATCCGATAGCGTTTAAAGCACGGCGAGCCATCCGGAGAATACAGCGGACGCGGGTGATCGCAGGAAATGTTGAAATGTAACGCGTGCTGTTGCGTGCCACCTTTCTCCCTTTCGATGGAAGTCTAAAATTCCATCGCGTATAGGAGAAGTGCCTCGTTTTTTCTTTTTTTTTTTTTTCGCTAGTCGTTGCGCGTGATCTCGGTCACGTAGTACGCGACGCGACTGATGCGTAGCTCGAGAAATTGTTTGTCGGTGAGTGTACCGTCTGTTACTACTGTGACGGGTCAGTGGCGGATTCAGGATATCTACTCCCTGGGAAAACATGGAAAATCTGGAATTTTCAGAAATTTTCATTTCCTTTGTACTTGGAAAAATCAGGGAATTCTCATGAAACTTTATTGCAACTCGAGAAATTATTAAAAAAAATTTGTTTTGGTATTGTAAGCAATCTCGGCAACCTACTGTTAAAATTATGAATTTTATATATATATTTACCTTTATATGGTCAATGAAATATTCAGCATATATTCTTTATATTTTAGTGTTTAAAAAAATGAAAATATATTATGCAAGTGTTAAAAATATTATGAAGAAAAATATATTTGCAAATCTAGCTCAATTAATTAAATGGCTTTGTCTTTTTTCTTCGTAGTAAAAATGATTAAAACGAGTAAAAATGATTAAAAAACGCATATTATAAAAATTTATTTTAAAAAATTGTACCAAAAGATTTTTTTAATATTCTTTTTATTTAGGAGATTTTGGGCAATAATAGAACGACTTTCCCTGGAACGTCAGAGAATTTTCAAGGAATATTTTTCATAAGATTTGAGAATAGACATCTTGGGATTATCGCGCATACATGAAAGTCGTTTGATGAAATACGCGTCTCGGCACAAGGAGGTTATCTTGAGGCCAGTTCCTCTCACTAACGTAATATTGAATTACGACACGAGAAAATGAAAAAGAGACGCAATATTTATGAATGCTGAAGTTTTTTGAGAAAATACTTGACTAATAAAAAAAAATGTAATTAAAATGATATAATTAAAAATTATCAAGATTATATCTTATTGTTGCTCTCTTATCGGTATGATAGATATAATGTATTTTGCTATCATTCCATTTTTTATTATCGCCACAATATATGAATAAAACTATCAAGCTGGAAAAATTTTAACAATGAACGCCTGCAAAAGTATTACTCTGTCGGTTACATTGTACACATTGGTTTGCAGTTGCCTACTTTTAGGCGCTATTAATCGATCGTGACAATCGAAGTAAGATAAATGAATAAGTATTTTTGAAATATTAATCGAGATTATATTATCAAAATTTATTACATAATTATTTGTATTATTTAATTTTTTTATTATTACTATTATTATTAATCACTTATTATTATTACTTTTATTATTACTCATTTATTATTACTATTTATATCGCTACATATAATTCTAACAATTTTAAATAATTAAATAAAAGAAGAGTTTAGAAAGAGAGTTTAGAGTTTAAATATTGTGCTTGCAGATTTTGTACGAATTCTTATTAAATTCTTTAAATAAACAGTACTTTGAAGAAATTTCTCGCTCTTTACGCTCTTAAAAGGGTTGGAGAGGTTTCGAATTTACGTATCGGCGAGTAAATATTTCCGAAGGCGATTGCGTTTCAATCGTCGTGTTTTGGTTGGAAGCTAGTTGATTGAAGACTTGGCCTTCGCGGTTTATTATTTATATCTTCGATGGTCGAGAATTCGCAATAGCGGTTTATTAATTGTCGGTTTCTCGTGAAAACTCCCACATCGGTTTTCACGAGTGAATTATGCGATATCTCATCGCGTGCAAATCGACTACGTTCTCGGCAAACATCTTGGCGACTTTCAACTCCTGCTGCGAAAAATCGCGAACATTACCCGCGCAACATCGCGAAGTATTACGCAAATATTTGTTTTTTGGCGAAGTAATGCGGCGAGCGTGAAAGCGGCGAGCGTTTAAACAAGAATCATCGCGAAATTGTGCCAAAGCTATTTATACCTGTCCACCTATATATTTATCCAGATCGACGAAAACGTCGCGCGTTCGTCAGGTCGCCCAATTAAATATCGTTCGATAAATCATTTTATTTCCACTCGAAATATTGCGCGGTGATATTAATTTTGCTGGCCTTCGGATTATTTTGACGGCTAATTATTGACACATCGCGCGACCAAGCGCAGTAATGCAATTTACATTGCCAAATTGCATCAATAAAATATAGCTTTTCGTCGACAAGTCACAGGGTTCATGCAACTTTGTGCGACTTTGTTTCACGACGAAATTACATATAAAAGAACAATGTACGATACGTAGTTATTTTTGGCTCGTTTCCGTATTCAAATACACGTCACATAAAGTTCCGACATTTGTACTTTTTAAAAGATGAAATATTTTCTCAATTTTCTTTGATGTGTACGTGCGCATCTTGTGCTCATCTTTTGCCATCGAGTTTTTTCTAAGAAGCTAAAATATTGCATTAGCGCTAAGCTGAGATGACCGCGATTCTGAAAGCTTTCTTAATTTTTTACACAAGTTTGCAGTTTGAAAGAATCCAAATTTTGATCGCTTCATTCATCAGTAAATAATTTGATTCTCTTCATCTGCTGTTGAAGGAGACAATACATTTTTTTTCCCGCGCTTCTCTTCCTCGCAGTGTAATCACATCGAAAATACAGGAAAATCTGACAGTTGTATAACAATAATAATTTGGCGGAAACTCTCATTTTAAAATAAAAATAAAATAAAAATTACTTGCCAACTTTACTCAATAATTAAGCTTTTCTTAGAAGATTAATAAAAGCATTTCTTATTTATTTCTTTTTGTCTAGTACTTTTAGGAGCAATTACCTTAAATGTCAATTCTAAAAGATTTTTATTTATTTTGTATTAATTAAAGATCAGTCCGAATTTAGCAATGAATGGAAAATTTACGTGATTTGATTACACATCGAAGATAAATCTATAAGTTATATTTTATTGAGAGAAATGTGCAAATATACGTTGTCTCGAGGAGAGAATGAATTTTCTGGCATCTGATAATTGAGAGACGCTGTTTCGAAGCGCGTCCCTGGTAACGAGCAAACTTGCTAGGCCGCGCCAATGTAATCAAATTAAAATGTCGGATGTAATTAGCGCGGGCAGAGACATAGCACCTCCCATGAGCGCACGCAAGTGCACGCAGTTGTTACTTCTCTCAAATTGACCGAATCGAGTGCAGTTGCCGTCCGAAGTGATTGCGGTTTCATGATTCGCACGGATAGCACGCTCATACCCCTCAAGAACGAAACCTAATGAGACTGCATCCAATGGAATGTTGCACTGCTATAATTCGATATCATTTTCGCGATTAATTTAATTTATATACGCCTAATTGTTCACTGCGAGTTTTCTTTTGACGGAAAATGCTTTTTACGCAACCCATGCTTATTTTTAATTTAATTTCAGTTTTTGCGTATGCTAAAAAAAAACATTCACGTTTTCATTTAAATGACAATGTTATTACGGTAAAACGAATATTTTATTTAAAGTAACGTTACGGTGTTAATGCAGATTTTTATTTAATAAGGAAGAATTTCGAATTGTGTAATTTAATTAAAATTGGTATAAACGAATAGAAATTTGTTTTTCGAGCAAATTAAAAATTATTAAACTGCAAAAAACATTTATAATCGCATCTTCGTATATTACAGAAATATCAAGCATGTAAAGTTTATTAAATTCCGCGAGAAGTTAAAATATTTTTAAATATTCTATATGGAAAATTGTTTCTTCGGGAAAAATATTACTTTTTAAGCATACGCAAGCTTTCTTCTTTTTTTGATTTAATTATAATTTAATTTTTTTAAGCTCTGCTGCGCATGTAGATTGCATGTGTTCTCACCACCCTTGTTTTGGATTGTTTGTTGCATCTACAGGTCCAGGCGAATGTCTCAGGATGTCACCACTTCGAAATCAACGGAGAACCTCTCAATGTCGTATTACAGGTACGCAAAACATGCACATTCATCTTCATTTTATTTCATTTTCTTGGACTTGGACGGTATGAACTAATTGTAAGTATCGTAAATAATTCTGATCCATTATATCGTTGATATTTAGATTATATCATTACGGAATATTTGTACAAATAAAAAAAATATAAATTGTACTTAAAAATACTAGAAACTAAAATAAAGTTCTCTTTAAAGTTTCTCTTTAAAGTTTCTCTTTAAAGTTTCTCTTTATTAATAAATAATTGAAAGAAATCTCGATAAATAAATAAATTAAATATTAATGAGTTTTTCGAGAATATCTTTTTATACGATAAGAAATCTATTTAGCGATAATATTGATATATATATGCATCTCTTGATATTTTTATTAATGTACGCATTTTTAAATACGTGTTCTGCAAATATTAACCGATAAATGACTTTAAAAGAAATTAATTGGAATATTTCGACAAATTTGACGAGTGAGTTATTGCTATTTACAGAATAATACAAGTTTATTCACCAGATTCATATTGATATTTCATTCATGTTCGTCTTCTTTTTTTCCCTTTTTGTTTTGCGAAGCATTACGCTATATATTCAGGTCTATTCGCAGAAATTTTAGCGGATTTTATCTTTGTCGGCCACGCGTCCGCAAACTACTCGACTTATGGAGGTAATTCGCACGATTCGCATGGTTCGTTGCATCGTGAAATTGCGTGAATCGCGTTTTGTTATGGCTCAGCAAAATTGCCTTTACACTTGAGTATTTTACAAATAGTGCCGTGCCAAACTATTAGCGTCTACCTATCTACCTATCTCTAGCTACCTACGCATACGTCCCGCAACATATATTCTGCGAGAATAAATCGCGGCGAATTGACTCTTTCAACTTTATTTTCGAATTTGTATTAGCGATTTGATTCCACATTTCAGAAACGTAAATTGTAAGTGGAAATATTTATTCATTGGATAGAGTATTTTGTGTGCTTGTTTTCATTGCGCTAAATTCTTTTACGATGTTAAATTCTTTTACGAAATTATCATAGTTGATTTAAAATATATATACAGGGTGTTTCTTAATAGGTGCGAAAAATTTTAGGAGGTGATTCTTCGTCGAAAATTAAGGGGAATTTTTCATATAAACATTAAAAAGTTCTAATAAAAAATTGAATAGGGATTGCTAGTTTCATCTCCTTGTAACAATACGGCAGGCTGAAAAAAATATTAATAAATAACCTTTTTATTAGTAGAAAATATCCACCTAATTTCATTTCTTTAACTTGTTCCAAATTTTAGAAAAAAATAAAAACCTAATTTTTACCCCCATTTTTGGAGGAGTGTACTTCACAGAGAAGAATGTAGAAATATAGTTTATATGAAAAACCCCCCTTAATTTTCAACAAAGAATCATCTCCTGAAATTTTTTGCATTTATTAAGAAACACCCTGTATATATATATATGTTTTAAAAATTAATATATCGTGTTATTTTGTGGAAATAATGAAAGATTGATTTTTAAAAAAATGTTTGAAATAGATTGTCTGCATCTCGATTTATTCACGTTTTATATCTCTTTCAATCTATTTCTGCAAATTTCCCTTTGCTTAATCAAATTTGTTGCACAACGAGCTCAGCTTATAATCGAGAAGGAATTAACGATCACGTTTACTCTATTACAGGAGCAAGAGCCGTAGCGTGGATCATGGATTTACAGCACCCTTCGATTTGGATTCTTTGCGGAACAAAGTTGAAGGACGCTTCGAATCTGTGGATAAGCTCGCGAAAGGTAAGCATACGTTACTTTTATTAAGTAATTAAAGCATAATTAAATGTTTGCGTCGGATTTCTATACGAATGAATCTTATGTTACATAAACTGCTTACATATGTTATCTCATTTAACTAAACAAATGTTACTAAAATGATGGAATCATTTTATCAAGGATATCAGTCAATCTTCCTGTAAATAAATTATAAAAAGATCAGATATTAATCAGATATTTTTCTAGAAAAATATCTATATAAAATTATCTATAAAAATATTATTTGAACTTGAAAATGTTTATAATCGATCGAGACTATATCTAGATCGTATGTTATCTATCGTATAATTTTTGTTGCACGGTGGATTTAATATTAAGTAGCTGTGACAGCTTTTTATTATCTTCGAACGATATGCCTCCTCGTGAAATATGCTCTTTCCCCGATAAATTCAAGTCAATGTCGCTCCGTCGTAAAGAGATCGTTTAATAAAATGCAATATCCGTCAATGTCACATAGAGAAGATCCGCGCGTCCAATGATCCGCGACAGATCCGATACGGAAGTTCCGGGCAGATCAGTGAATTGGAGAGGCTGACCATGATGGTTCTAGACCAGACGAAGGTCGGGAATCCGGGCTGTTTCGAGCCGCTGTTGCAACCTTACTCGGGCGAGTTACATTGACTTACTTTTCTCAAAGTGGTACGAGTGCCACGTGTGATCGATCGCTACATATCCCGCATGTATTTCGAATCGACGTGTTACCAACACCGGCGCGTTTAATGGAGAACCTAATGAACATTAATTGACGCACGAGTTTAAGAATAAAGTATAATGGTATGGTAATTGATGAAGCAGCGTTTCGATGAACAGTACGCCGTGAAAAATGAATAAAATTATGGACAGTGGCAAAATACGGGTGTGTAGGTTGTTGCCCGCGGCTAATTTTTAATCGGAATGAATAATTCAGGAATAATGAATAATTTATTCATTCAGTTTAATGTAATCGAACAGGATGCGGAATGCTGTATATTATTAATCTTCGAAAGTATATATCTCTGATAATCGAAATATGTATTACATTTATCGATCAAGATATATATATATAATTATTATGAAAAAAAATTATTATTATAAATTTATTATTTATTACGAGAAAAATGAAAACTTGTAATATTTTGTAACAATTTTGTAAATATTTATACTAGTTTATATACATTTATGATAATAAGATTAGATTAGATTAGAACTTTATTATGGGATTATGATTTATTTAACATTTATTTGCTTTCATATGCGCGTGTATTGTAATGTTTATAATATTCATTTGACTTATGATGTTATATTTACATTTTTATGACACGTATAGAGATACATTCGCGCATTTCAAATCACCTCATCGTGCCACGCTCTATTTCTCGTATATGAAATTGCCACTGAAAATTTAGATTCTGTTTCGATGGCCCCGCAAGCAGTTTATTAAATTCGCTTCAAGCATGCGAATAACCCAGATACTAGTGCGAACATTTAAATCATTCTCCGTACATATGCGCACGCGCGGGTGTGGCTTTAATAGGAGCCGAGGGTTCACCAAGAGGGACAATTGTTTCCAACTATCGCTAGAAATTTATCTCATTACCCGCGCCAGCCGTTTGCAGAATTATACGTCTGAGAAATAATTCGGTCAGCAGAGAGTCTAGTTTTCCGCGCTGAAAGTAATACAATGTTCTCGTATAATATTAAAATAAAGCTCGGAAAATAATCGCATAAATTTATTATTATTATTATTATTGAAAATTTTATTTCATGGGATTAAATTAATCCGATTATAGCAGCTCAAGGTAAACCACCTGTTAAATATTTATTAAATATTTCCTGCTGCATTAATCATTTAATTTCGTTAATGCTTTACTGTTATAATATCGATTACATATTTAAATTTTAAGATACGATTATACACCAAAATGATTCCACAAGAGAAAAAAATTGGGAGGAAAACTCGAAAGTGGCGAGATATCCCGAACGCAATGCAAGCTGTCGATTACATTGACGTTTTTATTGGAATCGTTTCTGGGAGTACATATGCACATGTGTGTGCAGAGCTGTTTACATTGTAACGACACTGGTTGCGCATAGGCTGTACAAACATTTATTTGTGATTATACCGAGTGCACGAACATCAAATCTGCGAAGCTATGAAAGTTTCTCGGAAACCGGAACGACGAAGGAATAACCCGACAGAGATTTATTCGTATTAACAAACACATTCGCCGAATATAGTCTTAACTTTCACTTATCCCGTTTGAATTTTTTTTAAGGTTTTTTTAAGGTTTTTTAAGGTTTAAATTTTTAAGGCTTTTTAATTTTTTAAAGGTTTTTTCTCCTCTAGTTTTCACAGAAAAAACAGAATCTATTTTATGACTAGATCAAATAGACGATATATTCGATCGTTTTTAGCAATTTTGAGATGTCATTGCAATGGAAATAGTTTGACTATCAACAAGTTAATATAACATATTTTTAATTCGAAAATATAATTTCATATTTAAAGTGTAAGGACAACTCAAATATAATATTTTAAGGAAGAGGTCACAATTATTAAAAAATTATTTATATGTATTATAAAATTATAATATTAATAATAATTTTTTTTTAAAACAATTAATTATTATTTAGACTCATATAATCATGCATGGCATTTCATCTTGTAAAAGTGTAAGGTTGTTATTACAAATTGTCTCGTAAAATTAGTATTGATTATTATTCATTCGTGCATGAATTTAAATGTGAGTGGTAATAAAAAATTTTATTTCTTTCTGATTCTCTCATATATTGTCACTACAGTTTAGTAGTTTATTTGCCATGTGACGATTAACGATTCTTGAATAGCTCAAAAAGAATTATCTAAACACTCATTTATAGGCCATTAAATTCTTCATGTTTCTTACATAATATAGTCGCGTTTGCGCGAAAATTCGATCAATTGACAAAAATAAAATCACCAAATCATTAAAATATTTTATAATAATCTATTTAACAATTGATAGACTATCATTTATTCGCAATTCATTACGACGATAATAATACTCGTAAATATTAATTCGCAAGAATTGTGCGAAGTTATTTCGCAATATGATCGATCTACTCGAGAACCGTTCGCAAATAAATTCTCCCAATCAATTACGCGATTTATCGGCTCCGAGAAACGCGATCGAATAGTCCCGCCAAGAATGACGTCAACCAGATCCATCATGGCGATCAGCTGCGCGGATCGGAGCCGCGACTGAAGTTTATGGTTATTCGTAAATTGTCAAGTGCGCGTCAAGTTGTGCATCTCCGATCATCGTCAGCATCGTTCGAACTCGAACAACTTGTTACATCGCGGTTGTTCCTCTTGCACATTGTCTCGATCGGGGACTTTCTCATTATTTTTTCGAGAGTACGCGCGTGTTTATTAATCATTCGCGTAATCACGTTTGACCTCTTTCGCGCAGTTTCAACCACGAACGCGGATGACGATTCTGCTGCGCTCGGCCGAAAGTCGTGAGATCATCGTAAGCAACCGATGTCGAAACCGATGACTTATCTCGCTTTAATTATCATTTTCGTGTGATAAGTGTCAGCTGTTGAGTCAGCTATCGATTTTTCTTGCACAAAGTGCTTTTTTTATTACACTATCAATCTATGTAAGTTTATTCTCAACTATCTTCCGATTCTGTAATTAAATAATACATATATATGTAATGCTAAATGTACAATGACGAGTGTGTGGTTTTTAGAAAATTGGATTTCAAAGTTTAAAATGAATCATTGTATTATGAATCAATAAGTAAACAAGAAATTTAAATTGTATAGATTTTATTATTAAAATTATTAGATTTTATTATTAAAATTATTCTTTATTCAGATTAATGATTTGCTGCAAAAATGTATCTATTTAGAAATTATTTTTTACGTATGATTTTAATTGTTTAAAATATATCTTGTAAATAAAATAATTTTTATATTATTTTCGCGTTTGTTTAAAATATATGAAAAAATTAAGATTGAAAAGAAAAAGCAAGAAAAATATTTTATCTTTACTCATAGTATTTTATCTATAAAAAAAATAAGATTGTGAAAAATATATAGATATAGGAGTGTGGAAAGGAATATAAATATAGAAATTTGATAATTCCGAATCAATTTAAAGATTAATATTAAAAACATTAAAATTTTTGAATAAAAATTTTGTTCACTATCATTTAGCTTATTTTATTGAGCGAGAAAATTTTGAATTTTTTTCAGTTAAAACATACAAGTTTTTTATGTATTATCGGTGATAACGCTCATCGTATACACGCTTGTATAGATAAGAGAAAGTTCCTTATTTGAAACTCTAATTGTAAGAATTCAAGTTTTTTAACAAAACAATAGTTTAATTTTATAAAAAGTTTAAGATAAAATAAAACAACTTTTGTAAAATGTTTTGCTATACGAATATGTTAATTTTGTGAGAAAAATATATTAGTTTTTATAATATTATATATTTTCTATATTTAAAACATATAATTATAATATATTACATGATACATGTATATTTAACAAATGAAATATTTAAATTTATATTTTTTATTTTTATTTGAATTATATGCATATTACGTGTATTAGTTATTAAATGAGAGATAACTTTGAGTATAGATAAAATTTGCGAGAAGCCGAGAAAATAAGAGTCGACAATATATCTGCCACTTATCTGCCAATTAGACTTTGGTTCCGACAACTGATATCTATCAATTACGAAAACCAAGCACATACATTATTCCACTGGCCAATCGAGGCATATTAAACGAATATTACAGAGCGCTCGCGCAAGCGGATCGAGTGACAAACAGTGTTCGTTTTCCGGTGATTTTAAAAAGAGACGAGAAATGTTCCGGAGATGTTGATGACGATGGAATTTAACATTCCAACCATGACAGACTCGCAGTGGGAATATGCAGACTACGAGCCAAATAACATTCATATTTACGAGAAGGAGTTCCGCGACTATGTCGTGTATTACGTGGCGCAAGAAGATTCACAGCTCTATTTGCAGAATTTCTTAGATACAGGTATTCGAAAATTGCGAAAAAACTCAAACGAAAAATATTTATAAGAAGAATGTACGAGATATTCCACGTTACGATTATTTATCCGTGCAATAAAAATTTCTTTAACTTTTTGGACTTTTTTATCTCAAATATAATCTTTTGTAAATTTTATCTTATCTCTCTTTTAACAAGTATATAAAATTAATTTATATTTAATTAGCAAATGTAGAAATAATATGTACTTTATTCCGTTATTTTAAATTGTAATAATAATTAATAATAGTTATTAAATTGATAAATTATTTTATATTTGATTAGAACGCTTTGCCAGATTCATTATATTAAAAGAGAAACAATTACAATTTTATTTTTTAATATATTACGTTTTGCTAAAAATTAAGATAAAATAATTTTAATATGCAAAATATCAAGATATAATTGAAACACGAAGGAAAAAATGCCAGCAGGAAATATGACAGCAGTATGTATTTTCTCCCCAAAACTTTTTTATAAAATGAACACATTTCCCGTTGTTAAATTTAAACAGCGTTAAATTAAATAATGATTTTAAAATATTCAGAAATTTCTTTCGAGTTAAAATATATTACATGTGTGAAAAGAATGAAAGCTTTTTAAGAATTTAGTGAAAAAGTTATTTTGGTTTACGTACGTCTCATTTCTCAATCAACCGCTTCGATCAATATTAATTAATTTCACACGTGTGAATTGAAATTATATCTGCGCTCTCTGCACAGAGGGAAAGAGAGAGAAAAAGAGAGACGCAATGAAACGTGCAAACCTGTAAAAGTGTCAAGTCCATATATCATATCGTCGGGCTGGATAAAATAACATTCCATAGTCAGCCTGGAGATTATTACGCAATAGCAGGAATTGAATGCCAGTTGAAATTGAGCAAAGTGTTTGAATCATTTATCGACGGCCATGGAGAAAAACAAATCTTTCAGATTGCTCTCATCGCGCGATTCTTCGTTACTCTTGTCACGTTTGCTTGTGAAATACAATAGAGAAAATCTATTTATTATTTCTCACGATCGTCGCTGAGAATAATAGGAACCGCGGCCGTTTAATTATGATATGTGAGTAATCTGACATTGGCGTTTTTAATAACTCTTGTAATTATAACTAATTACACTCAAAGTATCTGCATGTTCTGCGTTTATTTTTAAAAAATAATTACTTCAGTTTCGGTAAAATACCTTGTCTAAAATTCGTATATTTTATATTAATAAGAACACAGTTTTTTTAACAGTATTACATTTGCGGAAAAACGGCTACGTTAAATCGAGAGAATACTAATTGCATTCATTTTTTAAAAAAATGATAAAATAAATTCTAAATGCAACGTAAAACGGCAAAAGCATCACGCTCTATTATCTTTTTGTCGCGCATATTCTGGTCGCGATGCTCTGATACTGAACTGTGAGTATTTAAATTGACAATGATTAACCGCGTTTGTCTGGCGCGCAGCAAGTTTACCCCCTGGAATGACTTTTGCGCGAACTGACACGTGTTTGCCGCTTCGTTTATCATTAAGTCACTGCGATGCACCGGCACTGAGTAATGCAATCAGATAGGCGGGCCACAAAAATTAAATTTAATACGCTCTTATCGCTGTAAATATGTTGAACAATTCATTATCTCGCGTTTCGCGGTTGTTTTTTCCCTTTTCTTAAGAGAATATCGATATTGAGACGATTGACTCTATCGCGTCAAAATTCGAAAAAAATTTGCTGTTCTTGTCAAGAACAAATTTAATTTTTATAACGTCGCATATCTTTTTTTATATATTTTTATTATTATTTTATATTACTATTATTATGCATTTTGTTAAAGTGAAATTTATTTATTATTACATTAAGTGGTTATCGTGTATTATCGTAGTATGCTAATAATATATTATGTCTGACACAGTAATTATCTAAAAATTGTCTGAACTTGCTGGAAAAAAAAAGGAAAAATATAAATAGATATCTGTTATATTTTTTCTTTGATATTCTTGCATATTTTTAAGCTTAATATCATGAATAATTTAAAATAGTCTGAATTTCTTTCTCTCAAGATTTTTATAAAATTATCAATCAAGTGTATTCCTATAAAAATTCTTATAAAGTAATTTTTATAGATGAATTTAATTTAAGTCGTAAAAGAGAGGGAGAGACATATTTATGATAGGGAGGAATATCTACGCAACTCAAACTAGTCAAGATAAATGCGCATATTACATTCAGAGACATTTTGTTTATCAACATACTGTTCAAGGATGTGACGATTAAATCTGCCTTTTATGCACAGATTCCGATAACGAGAGCAAAGATGGTTCCACGACGCAGGAGAAGAAGCACGGTCGCGTCTCGCAGCCCATCAACACCATTGCCTACACGGTAAGTGTCCCTATATCTACATTATACGTACGTTAAACGCCATAATTGAGTGCATATTAAGCTTTGATATGCAACCATGCACTTGCACCATTTCAACGGGCAATCGAGTGTCGAGACAAGATGATTAGATGCCAAGGAGAGCGAACGTGACCTTTGCTCGAACAAATAAATATCCTTTTTAATACATGAACTAACTTAACGTAATTGTTTCCGTGTCATTTCAAAGGAAAATACCTCATGATTCATAGCCGATTCTCATGTATTATCTATTCCACTTACAAAAGTTTACCAATATAAAGGTATAAAGGTATATCATGTAAAAGATCATTTACATAAAGTCGATAACCGAAACGTGAATAAAAATTGAACATAAAATAACAAGCGTTGCGTAACATCATAAATCTCTCAAAGAACGTAATCTTCTTTACGTAAGCTAAAATTCCCCAGTACGGTATTTTTTGAAACCGTTATGTGACTACAAAGAGATGATTGCATAATTTTCCGAAAATTTTCCTACGTTTTTTACAACGATAATATCGCTGTAAATACATTATTCCGTTTGAAGAAATATTTGTTCATACTAAACATATCTAAAAATGACGTAGCGAATCTAATCGAACTCGTGCAAACTTTTGCGCCAAAATTGTCCCAAAAGAAGCTGTACAAAATGTTAACGGGAGAATCCGGGGGGGCTGGCCGCGTGCTTCGGTTGTCAAACCACAGTTATCAACGCGAAACGCGTGTTTCTCGATACGAGATATTTTGACATGAATTCCAATTACTTCGCCTGGAGCCAACACACTCTCGTTAGCGAAATAGTTCCTTCCTCGTGGGTCGCGTTCGTGGGGAAAGCTCGGCCCGAGTTCGCAAGGATCGTGGACATCCGCTATACGTTTTCTCGGAACTTCGTAGACGCGGGACGACACGAGATGGCAACTTGGGTGCATCGCTGGAATTCTAGAACGATGCATATACATGCAAAGATCGCGGCTCCTTCGATTCTCGAGGCGACACCCGTTTACTGGCCGGTACGTCTTGCGTTAATTTTGAGTTTCGATCTTTGACATATCCGATGTTTAGACCATTCGGTTCTTATTTTAAAGGATCTCGAGTATCTCTTACTTGTCGAAGCTCTTCCGTAATCAAATAATAGATAAAAACAATAGTAACTCAAGCATGAAATGAAACGTGAACACATATATATTAACAAGTTTCCTACTCTTCGTGTGTCTTTTTCTGTTTGCGCGACAATCGTGTGATACATTGCGTTCTTCACTATATTACTATCATGTCGGTTGTCTCCGGGGAAATTTCTCGATCGAACAGCGCTCTAGAAAGAAAGCATCCCTCTCTCTTCTCCTACCTTTCTCTCTCATCTAATCCTAATCTTTTTCTAATGCGGCGTTTGTGAAAGGCTCGCTCCAGGGAACCGGAAGTTCGTGCGACATTCATCCGATGAGGAAATGAAGTTGCTGCACAAACTGCACTTCCTGATTCCCTTCGGAGCGAAGCGGAGCTCCGTGAGACCGGTCTAGCTCGATGCCATGGCATTCCATTGCATTCTCTTCCAACTTCAATGGAAATTCTATTTTCCATAATGAACGAAATATTATTAGTTATTTCAAAAATTTGATTGGAACGCGATTAAAGAACTGTTATCAGCGTTTTGAAATAAATTCTACAAAAATTTGACCCAATTATCATATCTATAACGGTAAATATACACAATTGTTCTGCAGATGTATATCTTGTTCAATTTGCTCAATTTGATTCGATTCGACTGATGATTATTTGTAAATAAAATATGGTTGTATTTTATGGATAAAATTTACTATATCGTTGTACATATATAACGTTCTTTAATAATTAACATAAATTAATGTAATAGTGGAAAATAAAATTATTTTAGAACTTGGAAGAAACAAATTTATATTAATTTTTGAGAACGAATTATCTCTAGAATTATTTACAAATTTTTTATTTACGCATTTATTATACATGACATTACATACATGATATTAGCGATGCACTTTTCATGAGCTACGTAATGTTAATCTGTTGGTAGGTCATCATTATCCGGTAATCTGACGTTATCCTATTTGACGGTAGCGAAATCACTAACGTCGTAACGTAATCCTTGTGTCCTGATAATCATGGTAGCTGCAATCCCTGCTGTATTAGAACCTAGCTTATGTCGCTTATTTCGGCTCTCTTGCATCCTGTTGATCGATTAACGTCTGTAATCTGACAATCTCTCTTATCTTCCTCGAGCTGGCGACCTTAATGACGCTCGCGTACATTAAACAACAACAACACTTTCCAAGTTTACGCTTATCATTTTATCAATTTTCAAGTGAAAATCTAAAGCAAGAAGTTTCGTCTTCATATTAATGTTTCTATAACTCTGAATGAGTTACAATAGGATTAATATAGGGAATTAGTTGTGGAGAAATCGTCTAAAGAGTTTGTAGAAACGCATTTGTGTTTCCACTTAACTTATTAAAGCAAATTTTCGATGTAAATTTTCTTACTTGAAAGTTAGATAATAGTTTTTAACTGGAACTTTTTAATTAAAATTACCACAGCAACTTAACACAGTAAAATATGTAAAAATAGTGAATAGTAAAAATTTAATAGATCTAATAGAAATATATCATCTTGGCATAATTAATTATTTCAATATACGGTAGCTTAGCTAATGTGATTGCATAAAAACTCTTACCTAATTACAAAATATATTAATTTCGATGGCAAAATAATTTCAAATGTTTAAATTAATTGTCGCGCATAAAAAGATTATTTTTTAATCACGAAATGTAGCATCAGAGGCAGACTGTTCAGTAATCTTCTAACTGTGTAAAGATACGCAAACGAATGCGGGGGAACATGAAAAAAGAGAGAGTTAAAGTGAGAGGAGTAGAAAAATATAGGAGCACACAGAAGATGAGCTTCTCCGGCGCGAGAGATCTTTTGTGGTCTGGCAGTTCTCGTTCAACGAAAACGATGATGAAGATTATAAAGCCGCGGCTAAAAGACGCGGAAGCTGAAACAATAGCCATCTCTCGCTCGCCTTCCTGCTCTTCGCGGTTTTAGAAAGCATCCCTTCTCTGTCTCGTCCCTCTTTTTTCTTTGCTTTTCTCGATAGTTTCATCACTGCGATTTTCGCTTTTTACCCGTTTTACTCGATCTTTCCTCTTCCAACCGCCATCCACGCGTCTAATCTCTGCCAGAAGAATGGCCGCTTTTTTCTTGTTTGGTTGCACTGCTATTAATGGGATGCGAATTAAAGGAAAAGCCTTGCTTTATGAAAGTAACGGCTTTTTATATCACTTGCTTAATATCGGGATTTTCATACTTACTTGAAATGAAAAATGTCAAAAATAGAATATTAAGAAACGAAAACAGTTGATATTTTGTCTTATTGTTTGAAAAATAGTCTATTAATTTAGATATTATGTAAATAAAAAATACCTAATATAAAAAATTTAATAATATATAATAATCGATTAAATGTATAATAAATTAATATTATGTTTAATCAATCATTTCCTTATAAATTATAAATAATTAAAATTAAAATTATAAAAATGATAAATTGTTATTTCGAATATAAAAACTATTTCGAAATAAAATTATCTCGGGTAGAGATTTGTTTTAATGAAAGTTTAATGAAAGTTAATTTGTTGTCTAATTAAATTTTTGTAAAAATATGAGGAATAAGATATTGAAATTCAGAGATTATTGAATGAGATTTTTTTAGAGTAATAAGTATCACGTCAAGAAATGAAAAAAAAGAATCATCTTTATATATATTTATACCACACTTTTCACTTAAGACAATAAAAAAATAGAACATTATCACAGACGGCGGCAACGTATATAATTTTTCTTAAAAAATTGTAGATTTGAAATGCTTTGAAAATAAATAGTTTAATTGTTGAAGCGCGACTAGCTTAAGCCCCGGGGAATTTCGCTGAAAAATGATAATAGCGAGGCAAGATTTCCGTGTCATGGCGCCTAATGGAATTACGAGAGCACTAGGGAAGCGGTAGACAACGCGCAATTGGAGAGAGGGTTGAAGTGTCGCGGAATAATTAACGAATTTCCCGGCGGGACATAAATCGCGTTTTAAGCGTCGGAAACCCTATTTTCCGCCGATGTTCGTGGAAAATGGCGAACTCACCGGCCACGAGGTTGGTGAGATCAGCGGCTGCTCGCACGGGAAGAGACGAGCTTTTTAATTGATTTATGCCGACCCTTTTCCCGCCGCTATTGTTCAAGGAGAAAGCGATCGCGACAAATAGCCCGATTAGTACGCGCAACAGTATTACATTGCTCGTGTACAGGTCGTTGCACACGAATTTGCATAAAAGACATACGAGCGAGCGTGACCTCCGCAGCCGCATAACAAGGCTCTTTTTCCGGGAATTCAATTTTCTGTCGTCCGATACTCTCTCGAACGCGTTTCTGTCAGCTTATGTAAATGAGGCTGATGGCCTCGTGCGCGCTATCGCGGACACGTGTGTGCGGCAAAATGCATAGAAGACTCAGATGCGCCCAATAACAGATTTTATCGAGTGATTCTCTCGCAACGTTCGTTTCGAGCATATATATATATATATATATATATATATATATATATATATTTAAATATATTCCCGCTAATCTACGTGAATGCGAGAAAAGCGATAAAAGGATTTGTTTAGAGTTAAATAAAAACACTTTTGGAATAGATATATATTTCATAGAAATATTTGTGATATTTATGAAATTTTAATGAAATTTAATTATTTTCACACAATAATAAATTTATTTTTAATCATTTCTATTTACCTACCATCGATTTTGTTCGATTATTATTCGATTAAAAGCATTGAATTAAATTTTGTAAACGCAACGTGTTGAAAAGAAATGACATTTTTCCGTTGCTTGCACAAGACGCAAAAAAGCGCGTTAGACACGCGAAGGAAGGAATTCCTTTGAACAATCACCATTGAGATGCTTAATGACATGTTTGCCTTTGTAATTACAGGTGGGTGACAGAGACACACTTACGTCAGTGGCGGCGCGATTCGATACGACGCCATCCGAGCTGAGCAAATTGAACAGGCTCGGAAGTACTTTCATCTATTCCGGTCAGCAATTATGGGTTCCAACGAAAGGAGAAGGACGCCCTGGAGGCGGATCGACCGCCGATGCGCCCAGTCCTGATCCTTGTCACGATCATGAGTCTCAGGACGACTTACCACCCGAGGAGAAAGGTGGGCGTCATTTTATTCAGTCTTCTTTAGCACCGTTGAAATATCATAGATCGTTCACTCAAACTCTTGAAATCTCCCTCAGTTTATATTTAACGAATAATAAAATTATAAAATTATAAATCTAATGAATAATAAATTATAAATTTATAAATCTTGATCGTTTTACCTCGCAAGCATAAAACTTTACGGATTTAAAGTTCAGGGGAGGAGGGAGGGAGAGGTCCTAATTTTAAACTTTTTGAAAATTTTGAAGAGTCCTTTCGAAGAAGTACCATAAATCTCTAGAGAAGATACATTATTATTTAATGCAAAATAATAAAGCGAACTTTAATTACGAATTATGCGCGCAATATACACTTCATAACTATGTACTAATAGAAACAAGCTTTAGAACAGAGATGTAAATTAATGATTCGTTCTGTATTCGTTCTATTCATTCATCACTTAATTGTTCTTGCGAAATAAAAGAGGAGATATTATTGATGACCTCTAAAGTGGCCGCTCACATTAGGTACAGGGTTGACATACCTGTCTAGCTGTCGAAGGACGAAAAGCTTTTTTTCTTCGTTTATGACGTAACGCACGAAGGCGTGCAATTAATTATTGGTGATTTTATTCTTTCCCGTTGAACTTAGCTGATTCGATATCCGTTCAAGATCCTGTATCCTGTTGCGCATTATGCTAATGTGCAAGACAGATTTAATACATGCGTAGCGATGCGACATGAATAATGCAGCAGGATTCGGAGAGCAGCTACGCGCGAGATAGGCTCTAGAAATTGACTCACTCGACTAGAGAAAAGAATTGGGATATCGGTTATATTATCTGCCTATGTATAAACGAAGTCAACCGCTTGAATGAATATTGATGCGTTACCATATCGCGCTACGTGTCTTCGAAAATCGATACGTAGTGCTATTGTAACTAACACGCTTGCCTTTTGTTGTTTGCATTATTTTGCATTGTCGCTTCCGAGAAACTTCCATCTACTTTCATTATCACCGAAGGTAGATAGCGGAGGCACTCATTTATTATGATGTATTTGCGTAAACTAAAGATTAATATAGAACTCGAAACTGTGCATAATTTGTCAAAATATTGCGCGTTATTTTACATATTTTAAACATTATTTTATTTTTAATTAAATTCTAAGTATATACTTATAGAGATAATATTGTTTTGTAAGAGAGAAAATTAATTAATTTTCTAGAGAAATTATTTATTATATTTAACTAATGAAAATTTGCATAAATATAATTAACACAGTAATAAATGATTTTTTTAAATACAAACTTCAAATATAGACTTTTAAAAATTAATATAAGAAAAACTTTTCAGATATAAATAATCGTAATATGCATTTCCGATGTATAATTATTCATAAATAATAATTATTCATAATTATTCACATTAATTATTATGTATAATAAATAATAATTATTCATAATTATTCATATTAATAACTATATTGTACGGTAAATGCAAGGCAGAAAACTCTCTCTCTCTCTCTTTCTCTTTCTCTCTCTGTTCAACGCTTAATAGCGAATACGAAACTCAATTCTGACGTTACACAATATCGCAATTTATTACTTGGCTACGGCTGTTGGTCCGTTTAGCGGGAACAATAGACAGAGCAAATTGTCGCGTACACTTACTCCAACTTGATGGTTTATTTATGTCTTCTTCGAGTGGAATCGCGCTTTGTCACCGTTGCCGCATCGCACTAGTTATACCGCAGCACGAAACATGCACACGCGATCGCAACATTCGTGCAACGTATGCACCGGTTGTCACGTTTTGCGAAACCGATGCGGTTGGGGGAAAGAGGATGGTACCGAGCGCGATCGCGGTTTCACATCTTGGACTTACATCTTCTGTAATCTGCGACTTGAATGGTTGACACGACACGCACCGCGAAAAACACAATTACATCACAAAGGTAACTTAACACGTCACATGTGTGTTGTACAAATATATATATGTAGGAATTACCTCGAAATATTCTTCCTTAAACGGCTTGATGACTCATTTTATTCAGATTGATAAAGTGATAAGAACGAAAAAAATAAGAACGATTATTATCGTCAAGATCATGTTTTTATATATTATTATAAATATTTTTTTGTTAAAAGTTTAATTTTTTTAGTTTTTATGTAAGAATATCTTTCATTACTGATCGTCTGCAAAAGAGAAGAAAAATAGAGATAAAATATTTTTAGCATAATCTTAGAGAAAGACTTAAAAGATAATTATTGTAAATTATTTTGTATTATTTTAAATGTTATTTTAAATTAAACCAGAAACCTGCTTTTAATTTTCCACTTTTAGTACTGTTAATTTTTTATTCTTTAACATGATATTTTTCATTGTCATTTTGTCATAAGTATTTATTTAAATAATTATTAAGTTTGAAACTCGTAAACTTCGAAAATTCGATAAAAATACGAGTCACCTGGTATATGATGCTCGATCAGCTGATCGCCCACAGAGCAAAGCGCGCGTGTATACATATGGTTCGCGTTGTCGTGCGAACATAAGCTATAATGTAATAATGTCCGACCGCGATGTCGTGGCGGATGAAACAGATGATGAAATTACTGATTCCATCGAAATTATACATGCATATGCCTTGCGTTGCAGCAAATAATGAGTTATGTCGGAATTTTCTGAATGTAAGGTTAGATTGACCTCTCTCTGATATGTGCAGGCGGGATTTAAAGAAGCATCATGACGTACGTCTCTGCGAAAACATTATTAGATAGTTGACATTATGTCTTTTTTAAAAATCGCAAGCCTTTGGGAATGTCTTTTTCTCTCTTTCAAGATTATTATCGTCAATAGTTATTTAGCTTGAAGATAAAATTAATTAAAATATGCTTTTTATTGTAATTCTTTTAAAAATACTGCCTTTCACCACTCATTTTGATCTTTTAAAAATGATTATAAATAACACAAGATCTGCAGCTATTGAACTATGAATTATAAAAATGTCAGGTCCACTCTTTTTATATATAATAAAAATATATTGTATAATAAAAATGTATTTTTATAAAATACATAATACTACTTTGTGCTTATTTTTGTTGTTTGATTTTACAGAACTTTTGGACAATTTAAGACCAGTATCACCGAAACCAGGCCATATGGAGCGTGTAAAGACACCTCTTGGAACTTCCAGTGGAACTACAGATGATGATGAGCAACCATTTAGAGAAAGATTTTTGAAAATCAATGTTAGGCATATCACAGATGGCCAGGTGTGTATGTAATATTTTTAGTTTTTTAAAATATCTCTCAATTTTGTTTAATAGTATTTTAACAACTCTGAATATTTTAATATATATTTTTATATATTTTTCCAGGGTGTAGTTGGTGGTGTATTGTTGGTCACGCCAAATGCAGTCATGTTTGATCCTAATGTATCTGATCCTCTTGTTATTGAACATGGTGCTGAATCTTACGGAGTGATTGCTCCAATGGAATTTGTAGTTAATGCTGCAATTTATTATGACATTGCACATATGAGAGTTTCTCATACTGAGTCCGGACATTTGGACAAAAAACCCGAGATTTATTATATGAAAAAACCCCAAATAGATAATCGTAAATGTCAATCTCCAGGAAAGGATGAGAATTTTCCTGAATTAGCAGGTGATGATAGTGAGAGTGTATGTAGTTGCGCAGAGAGAGATGGTGATGCTTTTCCAAAGGCCTTTGAGAGAGAACTTGTAACTCCCACCAATCTCCAAAGTGTACGTATTCTTTTGCAACAGTATAAATATTTATTATATAAAACAAAGTATTGAAGTTTTATATTTTAACATTATCAATAAATACACTATTTATATTTGTTATAGGAGGAGAATTCAAATTCTATCAAAGATAAAGAGAAAGAAAAAGATAGTAATGATAAAGAATTTTGCAGTGGCGGCCAAGCTAGTAGAACATTAGAAGAACGCAGACGTTCCATGCTTGACCATCATTGGGCAGTTCCTAGCAAAGATCGAACATTTTCCGTTGACGACGAGCAACAAGATTCACTAAATTCTGATAAGGTGATTTTTTTAAAATATTGTTAATGTACCAGAATTACTATACATAAATAGTTAATTTTAGAAATATTAATTATAGTTAATAATTAATTTATAAATAACTAGAATTAAATAAAATCACTTTTAATATAATAGTATACAGGATTAGTATACAGAAATTAGTATACAGAATTAATCAAATTTATATGTAAGTAATTAAAATTAAATAAAACCAATATAAATAATTATTGCAACAGATGGAACCAGCTAAATCAAATGCCATTCCCGAGGACGAAGAAGGATCTCTAGTCAAATTGTCGTGCCATGATTCTGGTATCGATATCCGTGATCCTAATCCACCTATTCCGGTAGTTCAGCCTATACCATCGAAAAAAGTGTACTCAGATGCAGACATTGTCTTATCGTCAGATTGGGTTCCTCCGATAACGATAGCACCAACGAATGTTACAAGCTCGTTAGAAGCTGGTCCTACTCCTATTAATGGCAGAAAGAAAGCCAGCTCAGTATCCTTTAGTTTGGAGGGTAATGTAGAAGAACCTGAAAAGGATGAAGAACATAAGGAAGATGATAAACAAGAAACTCGAAGGAACAAGGTATGTTTAAATTTAACATTTGCATCATGCGACAATGCAAAATAATATTTTCTATAGATATATTTATTTAATTTAATATTTTTTTAAGATGTTGAAACGTCTATCATATCCGTTGTCCTGGATGGAAGGTTTAACCGGAGAAAAAGAAGATGAAAGCAGCAAATCCATTTCTGACAAGGTATCAAGCCTTCCGAACAGTGCGGATTCCCATCACTCTTCTGTTTTCAGCAAAGTTTTCTCAAGGTGAATAAAATTCTATTACATTACATTGATATTTATTGACAAAAAGATTTTGCGTTCAAAAGTTACTTTTAATATATGATACTTTTATAACAGCTTCTATCTTTTCACTCTTCTATTTATATGTGTTAAGAATGAGTAACATTTCTGCAAGGAAGTGCATTTACTGAAAAAAGAACAATCTTATCGCCGCGCTAATTTTTATTTTAACTTGCTTTTTGCTGACTTTTAGAATAATATATAGAATACAAATGAGGTTACTCACACCTAAGTAGAAAGTTGTGTCTTATATAGATTATATGTTATGTTTCTTTGCTGTAAATAAACTTTAAAAATTTATCTTTATGGCACAAATATAGCCTCATTTGTTGTAGCATATTAGCTACTTATATAGAAAGAGCTTTTCACGTATGAAACATTACGGGATACAAAACTCGTGGAAGGAATATATAAGTATGAAGGTACATTAAGAGTAATCAATTTAGTATTTCAAAAAAAATTGGCAATTATTACTGCTCAATTATGACGAGAGTGAAACTTCAAGATATTTATGCTTACATTGCTTGCGATATAAATATAGATACTTATTAACGCTTTAATATCATTTCTTATATAACTAACAAAAAATATGTATGGTGGTGGAAAAAAGCTCGCCGATCAACCTGGTGAGTGACTTTAGCTCCGGCCTGTTTGCTAAAACCCCCAGCGAAGAGAGTGGCGGTAGAGCGGGTGGAACTCCTCCGCTTACCGCCTCCTCTCTCTCTCAGGACTTCGGCAATTTTTCACCTGGTCCAGGAGGCCTCATCGGGTGAGTCTGGACCCGACATAACCTTGCATTGTTGTATTCCCTTGTTCCTGCAATCCTTTCTATTTTTATTCGATTTACTTGATCCATTTTCATGTCTATCTTATCGATTCGTGAATGTTTTATTTCTGTAGAATTCTCTCTCAATGTTGTAACTGTTAAACATTCTACATTGATTAAGCCTGATATAGATATAAAAAAGATTATATACATATACATATTTTTTTCTAACAATTATCTGAATTTCACAAATATTCCGAGGATTCTACAGTTAAAATATTTTTTTTTCTTACACGCTCTTTTTTTTTCCATTGTTTCTTAAGTTTCAAGATACTCCGGGATTGAGGACTCCTGCTTTCAGGTAAATTATACTGTTTGCCAAAAACTCAGCGATAGACACTTATTGCTATTCTCCAGATCGCTTACAGCCACCACATGATCAATTTAACACAATGTTAGTAGCCCTCAAGCTGCCACATAATTTCTTATTCCCTATTATATACTGAACACAGTCTCTTATTGTTAATTCCTATTGTTATTATAATATGTGTATTATATATATATATATATATATATATATATATATATATATATATATTACTTTTGAACTACAAGGATGTGCAAATTAAATATATAATAAGAACTTAATAGAACACTTTTGATAGCTGACTAACATATACTTGTCGTTCAAAAATTTTTGTAACGTTGTTTTATGAGAGGAAGTTTTCTTTTCTTTTTTATAACTTCGTGTTTTATAAATTTTTTTTCAGACGCTCTTCCGTAGGTACCTTTATTAGACAGCAACCTTTAACATCCTCTGGCAGCAGCAGCGTCGACAGCAGTCGAGGTAGCAAAACTTCGACAATGGCGCCGCGATTGGATTATCGCAGTATGGTCTCGGTCGAGGATATGCCAGAATTATTTGTGAGTTTCGACAGTAAGTATCGCTATTGCACATATAGAGACCTATCCATAATATATTTCATGTTCTTATTGGAATGGATAGTCTGATTATCGTGAAGGCATACTCCAACAGAAATTCCTTTCACACAAAATACACTCATTATTGTTACACTTTCATATATCATGGATATTAGTATCGATTAGTTATACATACATGATGCAAAGAAATTAATAAGTGATAAGGATGATAAACGGGATTAGTAGGTGTATCATGCACTGCACTCGCCCGAAAACGCATAGACAGCTTTTTAAATAGTGTTGTTTTGTCAATTTATTGTTCCCGTCTCAAAATTTCGAGCGCTTTTGGCTATAAATTATTACAGGTTTGTGCAAAAAAATGATTTTTTATATTTTTTAAATTCTAAACTCCATCTTATATCATCAAATAGATTTGGAATTGATAACCAAATGCGCTTTTCTTGGTGTACGTTAAAAAGTAGTTCATCATTGTTTTAGATTATCATTGTTTATCATTGTCAAATCTGTATGTCACTTTATTGATTGTGAAATTAACTATCATGAACTATATATAATTTCTTTAAAAATATATAGGACATTCTCAAATATTTATGGGGAGAATAATATAAAGTAATAAAATAATGCGATGTTTTATTTTATATAAATTAACTCTTCGTTGATAATCAATAATCTTAACTTATAAACTCTGGTCTATATATCTCAGATACATTGATTTCAATATATATATTTCAACAAATAGGTCTTATAACGGAAAGATGTAATTCAACAAGCAGTTTTGTAACATATCTCTTTCCAAACAGAACATATGAATACATTTCTAGAATTTTGAAACCCTTTGTGCCGCATTGCATGTAGCGAACGCATCTTGTTTGCACTATTTAAATAATATCTTTTTAATTGCAATTTCAAACGCGCGTAGATTTAAATTTTATATATTAATCTCTTCTAATATATAATCTGATAATCGGATAATCATTTTAAATTAAACCATATTTCTGCAAGAAGTGATATGCTCGATTATTATGAACGTTTTAGTAGTAATGTCATTGTATATTTCTCTGTATTGATTGCTCAATTATCTCTCTATCTTTTTCTCTTCGTAATATTTCATCCATTTCAGATTAGCACAACGGGTTTCATTATTTAGATAGCAATAGGTTCATACTAATGCAGTAATGTCATTTGTTTCTGTTGTCCCTCTAGTCCAAGCACCTAATTTTCCCGAACTCGAAGGCCTGGGTAGGTTCATACAGTATTAGCTTGCTCTTCTCCTCGTGTCACAAATCCCCACTGTTTTATTTGTCTCTTTTGTCGAATATTTAACATTTTTGTCTATTCGCGACTTTTTATTTCCTGTCATGCATTAAACATGATTTGCGCAACTTTACACACGGCGATTACACTGTGTGGTAACTGTTATTATATTATATCACTGTAATGATTATTATTCTATTTCATCACCATCTTTTGCTGCACGTATATTTTGTATAAATATAATCTCGGACTCTTCTACAATATATATCTATACAATCACTATTCATGCATATGTCTATCTCATCATTATTAACATTTTTTTCACAGAATAATTCTTACTCTGACACTCTATCTTTCCACCTTTGTTTGTGATAATGTGCTTGCCTCGTTTTCCAAAACTTATTTGTACTTTTGATCTACAAATTTGTGTATTTGCGTGTTTGATGATCTAGTTCCTAAAGAAATTCAGACTTCTTATCGTAACAAAACTTGTTTATTACGATGTAATCGCACATATGTTGTCTATATTCGCGGATTATCGAATGTATAAAGATAAATCCGCCAATTATGTAATTCTTTTTAATTAATGAGTACTCGATCTATATTCATAAATGTTTCTCGCATTACGCAGAATTAATTCCACGGCCTGCACGTTCTTGCGAAGATCCACCATTATATCTGAGGCTACGAACTGGAAGACCGAAGGATAAGAAAATACCTCGATCAACACCAATTATGAGCTATGGCAAAAAGAAATTGCGACCCGAATACTGGTTCAGCGTGCCACGCAACAGGTAATTGTTTCTCACATTGTAACCTTTCGATCTTAGTTGTAATTCTTTTGTAAGACAAAAGAGAAATAGAAGGATGCAAATGTTACAAGTTGAGGAACGATTCGAGTTTAAACTTTTGATTTTAATTATTTACAGTGTTTATAGTCTCTTTCAAACAGTACATAATGAATTTTACAATCTTAAGATATATAAAAAATTAAACAATATCTTGTAATAATATTGGATTATTTGAATGAATTAATTATTGAAAATTTTTTGCAAATAAAATTTATATTATATTTATATTTAAAAGTTATAATTTTACTCCAAAAATTTAAATATAAAAATAAATTTTAAAAATCTATAGAAATTTTGAAAAAGTCAATTCTAAAAATCATGGAATAATACTTTTGACTTATTATGATTTTAATGCTTCTCTTGCTCTGGCGATCACCAAAGTTATCATGCATGTGTAAACAAGAGAGTCAGAATTCTCTTTGTACATTCCTGAAATCTGCATTTATATAAAAAAGAGACTGATATATTTTTTCTTGTTTACTAACTAATGAGTTGTTGCCAAAAAGATGAGTTACAGATATCGTATTGTTTGCGAAAAGTAATCACTTGATCGTGCCAGAATAAATATAACAGCCGAATGCTGTTTTTTCGAGTAGGAACATGCCGGTAATTTTCCTTTGAGCGAAAAATCTCATCTGTATTATTTTTGTGTATGGTCGACTTATGCATACATTCGCGAAGAGTAGTAATATCCAAAAATACGTTACCAACACATGCTTCACGTCGTAAAATAGATTTTCGCTTCTGCCACCGGATCTTCTATTTATATGATCGTTGATGCTTGATCAAGCTTTAGCTGGCTTATGACTACCAGTGTTTTTCTTGCTTTAAACTTATGTTAAACGTGTGTTCAAAATCATTAGAATAATAAAAAAATGTAAGTACTTTATATTAATAATGAAGTAAAAGGATATTATAATTTCTGGACAAATAATACGTGATCTATGTATTGGAATCTTTTTTATTTTATATAATCTCTATTTTATATGTTAAAAAAATTAAGTGTTATGGCTTTAATTTAAAAAGAAAAAAATCTCTAATTTACATAGTCTGAGAATTGTTGTTTAATCAAGATAGCGATCGCGATTCTAAGAATTTCGAAGTCATTTACATATTTCATGATATCGCGTAAGTCTCGTTGACAACGAGGACCTTTCGAGGTGCCACTTGTTTACAAATATCAAATATCACTCTCCAGTATCGCGGTTCTATCGAGACAATTAAGACCGTTCTTGGTTGAGTACTCAGATTAAGATTTATCGCGCGGGAGCGACCTGGTTTTTCCACGTATCAGTATGAATTCTCAGTAATCATATTCTTATATATCTTATTCTCTCATCACAAATTATAAAGTTGTCGAAAATAATCTCATTAATTTCTACAAGTGTGTTTAAAAAAATCGATTCATTGATAATGTCAAATGTGATAGATTCAATGGATATCATTAATATCTAACTTTATATATAAAATGATACTGAAAGATATACTTCTATATATACTATATCATATATCTTTCTTTAAAAAAATATTTTTAAATCTTATAAAAAAATATTTTTATTAACTTATTAATTGGATTATATAGATTTGAAATATTTGTTTTAATTTTATGAGCCAAGATTTTTCTAGAATACAACATTCTTGAAGCATTCTTTTGATGCAAAGCTGTAAAATAACTGACTTGTCGCTGTATGAGAAATTCTGTGTTTCACTGTAAAATATTATTAATTTTTTTGTATAAAAAATAAAAATATTTGTAAACAGAGAGAGAATTAACAAATTTTATATCAAGTATATTTTTTTCTATTTCTGTATGTACATATTTTTGTTATAGTTATTCATATGTAAACATATACTTATTTGTTTACTAATTTTTTAAATTTACAACAAATTATTACACCATTTTTGTTAATTAAAATTATATTCTTCTGTCTCACATCTTTTTTATACATAAACTGCTAGCATATTTTCAAATAAAACTAAAATAAGATTAAGATAAAAGTTTATAAATAAAATTCAACCATGTGATAGAAAATGTGAAATCAGATAAAAAGATATTGGTATAAGAAAGCAGATTATCGCGATTAATATCCTCTTTAGAAATTATGATTCACATGAAATCGTTTAATAATAACGTTTGATAATAAATTTCAACGGAACGTTAGAATTTATTTTTGTATCGTACTATTTTAATAACTGACGTAAACAGAGAATAACTCTTCGATTCAAAACCAGATTAAAGAGAGATAATAATTTCTTATGTATCTTGTTTTATTTTATCTTATTTACCTTATTTTATTTTTTATTTTATTTATATCTGACGGAATAGAATGAAAATAGAATTTACTTTTGTTTTGAAAACTTTTAGAAAGAAAAAAAGCCTTCGGACTGGGTGAGACATGCTCAGTCAGCGCGATATGCGAGTGCGATATATATATATATATATATATATATATATATATATATATATGTTTCGTGACGCATATATACGAAACAACAAGAGTGCAGGTGTACCAAGCGAGCGAATCAGCACGTGACATGTATAACGAGCCTCGACATTTGCGACGTATCTGGTAGTTTCGTTCCACGTTTTTTGTTCATTTTTCGGCGTATTCCCGCACATTTGTGCGCCTTAGAATGCCACGTGTATCACCACGTTTCCATCAAAAGGCAGAGAGGAAGAGCTTTTCTTAATATAAATTTCTAATACACGGTCTCGTGGAGTTAAACAAAAAAAGATCAGACGACAGCAGCAGGAATTTCTAAAAATATTGTCGGGAGGTTAGAAATCGGCCTCTGAGTTGATAACGACTGCTGCTCCGATATTTTGCGTGAATTGTCGCGTTCCGTCGTGCGATCAGCTGACGCGCGTTGTCTGTCACGTCCTCGAGGAATTATATCTCTCTCGTGTCGTGCGTTATTGTTCCTTTCGCCTTTAAAGTATCGTGTGGTTGCGTGGCTATGAATTGGGTGAACGCGGTCGTGATGAACGCGTTTAGCGGTATGATGGATTTTATTTACGACGGACACGTGAGAAGAGCGGTGATGCCCATCCTGCATCGCAGGTAACGCTCCACGTTTGACAAGTTTGCGCTCGAAGGAATTAATTTGCGCTTTTTCGATATTTAATGCATGAAATTGATATATTCTCTTTATTTTGTTTCTTTACAGAGTGGACGATCTCTATAGGTTTATTCACGCGTGGGTACCGAATCTTTACGGCGAACTGGATGAGAATTACTGGCTGGAACGCGGTTACATTCTGTCGGACACCGACACGGACCTGTCGCCAGAATTATCGCCCCACGAGAGCGGCGAAGGTGGGGATTCCACGGAGGAAAGTAAAGCTCGTGATGGACAAGGCGATGACATTACCGAGTTGACAAGGGAGTCTTGGGAGGTGAGTACTCTTCGTATCTGGGATGTCATAATATGCGACAATATCGATGGAATAGAACGACGGAAATTTATAATAGAAAGATTTGGTCATTCTTTTAGATCCTTTTTAGATAACACTAGATAGAGTTTGTTATGAAGTCGTTTAATTGAAGATTAAGAATTCTGGATTTTAGTCTGTGATAAATGAATATATAATAGACAAATGTACATAGTAGATTTTTATTATCTTTTTGAATTTTGATATAGTTTATATAAGTCTATTATATAAATTATTGCTGAAGTTATTAATTAGAAATTTAAGTTGTGTTTCTCATATAACAAAAATATATGTAATGTGAAGAATTTTGGAGCTACCGCAAAAATTTTGCCAGCTTTCATCGAAAATTTTTACAGAAAAATTAATTTCAAGTTCAATATAAAATGTATTATATATCATTCATTATGATCTTTGCAATATTGCATAATTTTTATTGAAGAAAAGAAGTTGTTATTCTCGATATCTTTTTTTAAAAGCGCAATGTTTCGTTTTCTTGCAACTTTTACAACACCATTCGTATTTATTTTTTTAATAACTCGATCCTCGTGTCGACCGGCTATCACATATCGCGCTGAGACACGCCAAATATTTCGCGGAATTATGAGTCACCGTTAACGATAACATCAAAGTTCGCTCGATGTTGGTCGCGATTGTCGTCGGCGCGTTGAAATGCGCGGATTCTATCGATATTCGACGCGAGGATCGCCCGAGGCCCGTTAAACCTCGACGATATCGCGATCGAGAACATCTGCTAAAGACGGCCGATTGTTGGTTGGCCGACAGTTGATCAAGGCCCCCTACGTAAAGCTGTACAGCATCCTGAAGACTTCGAGCACATCGGCCGATTCCGAGCAGATCCAGGATTCGGAGGTATCGATTATCCCTACCTCCTGCCCGGTGATCGATATCTATCATAGGCACCCTAATTGCTCGATGTTGAACAATGCACCTTTTTAGATAACATTGCCGCACCCTAGACCCTTGTTAGAACTCTCGGGTGCACCTGACGCGTTGTCACGCGATGTTGCGACCGTGTCTACCGTTTTGTGTTTTTCTTTTTCCTTTTCCCCCTTTTTTTTTAGCCGCTTTACTCGCTTCGATGGTTCGTACATCAGTGCAGCATTCGATCACGATTTACGTACATTAGTTGTCACGAAAAGAAAATTGCTTATAGAGAGTTCCTTAAAATCTTTTTTATTCACATTCTCAATAACGTGGGAACACTGATAAATGGATAATATGAGAGAAACTTTCTCCTCTTTAATAACAATTTCTAAAGTGTTATATAACGATTAATTCGGTTGAGCCTTATTCGAGATAGATTTGTTTTACGATTCTTATATAATAAATCTCGCACACCACTGTCGAAAATAGATTGCATGCATCTGTCCCCCTTCTCGATGTAGAATACACTCGACTAGAATCTAGATGAATGTGCAGCATGCACTCATTCGATACTCTCTACTCGCGCATGCACATAATATTTTATCGCATTGTTATTACCGTTTCTCTTTTCTTCTCTCTCTGTTTCTCTCACCATACGTTCCAGTGTTTCCTTTTACTACTTCTCGTGAGCTCCTATCACGACTTGATTAAATATTCGCAGAACGTACTTTCCATATTTAGTCGATTCTCACGACCAGCAGGATTTCATGCAAATCGATGTCGCGTCAAAGATAATGAGAATTATCGATTCAAGGCGAGATGGTAATTCTAATAGACATCAACATTGCATTGTTGATATATATGTCTGGACTCGAAGCGGAAAACTTTGTTAGCATAAGAAGTGGAAAGCGCGTTTCTATTCTCTTAAAGAAGATATATCCGGATAATAGGACTTGATTCTCTCTCTGCTGTGTATCACACATTAAAAGGCCATCAATATTAATATTTCCTTATGGAACGATCTATGACGAATATTGCGAGTACTCGTGTACGCGAAAGAATAAAGTTTGGTACGTATTTGTGGGACGTATACCTTGTGAAATATAATAATATAAACCAACTTGTGTTGCAGGAGTCATACTCTATGAACTGTTCCGACGCTTGCATAATGTTACGATGCATTATTGATGAGAATTGACACAGTCGGTGTAAATTGACACAGATGTAGTAGATATAATATTTCTTGGGAGAATATTTCCACTTACTTGTTATTTATGGCATACAGAACACACGCTTTTTTTTAATTTTAAAAGTTGATGAAAAATTTAATCGCGTCCTGACGTATTACAGATGATGAAATTAAACGGAGAAAATATCTAATTTTTGGTTATTATTTATATCGCATTTTGCGAAAAAGATAAATAAAAGAAATTAATAAATGCTTAATTTTTAGTACAAAATAAAGTAAATAATTACATTTTCTCCTGCGTTCACAAATACCTCGGGATGAAAGCAATTTGTCAACCAAAAAAAGATATGATGTATACCGATCATAATCATATATCGATTTCAGATAACAAAGTTCTTGGGATTTATTATAAAAGTATGAAGTCGCAAGAATAAATAATGGAAATTGCGTCAGAACATGCAATATTAATGTGAAACTAGTTTTTAAATGCAGCAGAAAATACAAATATATTAAAAATAATTCAGATTTGATAAAAATATTAAAACGTAATGCAAAAAATCTATAAATATCCTCAAAATACTTTTTAAAAAATGACAAAATGACGTGTTATTCTATTGATGTAATTGAAGCGAATAATCTATATATTCGCAATTGGAAAAGTTCTGCCGTCATATACTTTGCGATCCGATGATTTAAAAATAAAATACGTGCTTTCGTTTATTTTTAGATGTCTCGCGCGGTGTTCATCGTTCAAAGCACAGTATAATTCACCACTTAAAAATCTGACTCAGCTCAAATTTCGCTTAACTATTATTATTATGTACAAGATCTACATAATATATTATGTACAAAACTTTTCATATGCTTAAAAAAATCATTAATTTTGAATATCAAATAATTCAAAATGAATAATGATTATATGCTAAGTTATCCTCAAAATTAAAGGAAACAGTCGGAAAAAATTTCATCCAGTTAAATAAATTAAAAAAAGAAAGCTGAATAATTTATATACGTTTTAACAAAATAAATACAATAACTTCATAATTTCAAATAAAAAAAGATATGATTGACTGATTTTTATTGATAAGGACGATCAACTCTAACTTTGAATTTTTTTTTCTTCTAAAAAATTAAAGTTTCTAAGCGAAAGTTTCATGAGTGATATTTTCCAAAATGACATTTTTCTATACTATTCTATACTAGATAGAAATTTCCACTTTGCTGAATAGATTTATGGATACGAAAGGTTTAGAACGGGGCTAGGAGCACGTGCTGCGCAATCAAGAATGCGCAATCGTCAGAGAAGCCTCTGCCCAAGAATATGCGTCGCTCTTTTTCTCCTCCCTCTCCTCTCGCTCTTCGTCGCTTATATGAATGTATTAGATTTACTTCGAAAGCTCCAGTCTGGCTGTAGTCCTCGCAAAGTAAAGCTCGTGTTTGTCACATAAAAGTCGTATAAAAAGTATACGTAAATAATATCGGTTGAGAACGGTAATCATGTTAAGTAATTTAACGCAATTTTGATTAACACTTTATTGATTAACAAAAATCGATCAAGAAGTTAAAGAGTCAGTAGTAGAGACGCTTGCAATGGTAATTTTTTAAAGAATTGTGATTATATATACGAGAGTGAAAAAATTACTTCTTCTTGTGACTCGCTCGTGTGTGTCGCATTTTTCGCTTCTTCGGAGGAGTTTACAATTCGAGTGTTAAAACATAATGTAAACAAATTTCACGGTCTTCCATTTTGTAAACGAAAAAAAGAAAGGACAGCGAAAAAAAGTGCGTCAATCCGTGACTTTCAGTGCTAATCAAAGATAGCGAAGATGCCGAAGTCAAAAATGCCAAATCCGATCTCCAAGATTATCAAGAGACTCTTGAAAAAGCAAACGAAGGTAAAGGTCAGAGTTGAAATCAGTATAACCGTGCTTTTTAATCGCGCTCACTTCTTTATACCGAGCGAATGTGTCTGATTATGGAATTGTCAGGAATGCAGTTTAGAGTTACGTAACATGTAAACATGTTTCTCTTTGGAAGTCTGGCCATATCGAAATATCTAATTTACATTGACCTGTACAAGGTAAAATCACAACTTGAGATCTAAATTGTTGGCGCCTAAGATTTCCAAATTGTAATTTTCTATCATATTTATTGAAATGAAAAATCATCCTACGATAATCATGTGCGATATGAATCGAATTATTGCCAAAAAGAAGAAAGATATATATATATATATATATATATATATATATATATTAATGAACAGTGAGTATATATATATATACTCACTGTTCATTAATATTGTTATATATATATTATATATATATATATATATATATATATATATATATATACTCACTGTTCATTAATATTTAACTATTAAGTATATATTAATATATATTAGTACTTAATAGTTAAATTTATTAATTAATAGTTAAATGTATTAATTTATTTATATTATTGATATATTTGCAAATGTTCTTCATTTAAAATAAAATTTATCAAAATAAACAAATGTTTATTTATGATATTCTGTTTGCTCGCATAATGTTTACGCTAGAAATAAAAAACAATTTATGAATGCATATTCACGTGCATTTATTTACGATCTATTTCACATAATTTATACACTAATAGTTTGAAAAAGCAACTATATATATTTATACAAGGTGTGTATTTATAACTGATCTTTAGTTGACTCTATACAAACTCACCTTTCACCAAACCTAAAGAGTTACTGCGAAATGTACCGATTAGAATTAGCATCTACTTAAGCATCTATTCGCAATTGTGATAAATCAGATAATATATATTTATCAATATAATGACTTTATATTTTAAATAGATAAACAGAACTTAGAAAATTTTTCAAAGAGAAAAGGAAAAATGTGTAGAAAAGATTTAAGAAGTTTTCTAAATTTTTTGTGAAATCGGTTTTTTAAATAGACTATAGAAGAATTTGAACGGATTTTGAAAAAAAAATTTATCTACAGTAAATAAATTTCAATTGTGAAAGCGAGAAAAAGAAAGAGAGAGAGAGAGAGAGAGAGAGAGAGAGAGAGAGAGAGAAATATAATAAATGTGTTAAATGTATTAAATGTTAAAATGCATATAATAAATATGTTAAAATTGATGTTAAAGGTGTAGGAAAGATCTGATTATCAAATTTGATAGATAGTATTATTTAAATATGCAGAGATATTTTTATTGTGTAAAACAACAATAAAATAAATAATTCTTCAATTTTTATTACCCAATATTATTTTTTTCAATTTTAGACAGATGGGAATATATAAAATATAATTTTGAAAAAAGTGCCTGTTCTTGTGCTTATTATTTTAAAAGCTATTTAAGCCGAAAAGAAAAGAGATATTTTGATACAAGAAAAAAAAGAAAATCTTTATAAATATAAGAAATATTCATTGTTCATTTTTTTTCTACATAATCTCTATTATTCTATGCATTTGATCTGACGTTTACCATTTGTGAATTCTGTCTTGGAAAAGAAATTTTAATCTGTCGTAAAGTCTCTATGCTGCCTCAACGATTTTTTCACTCAAATAAACTTTCCATTTCATCAATTGTGTGATACGATTCTTTAGAATCAAATTTCGAGCTATCTAAATTCGACATTTTTGAAATTGAAGACCTCTCTCATACACACAAATATATTTTTTTAAGACCTTCGAATTATTCATAAATAAAGAAATTTCGAGCATCTTTTACTACTTGCTACATTTAGCAAACAATCAGGTATCATTCGTAAAAATCCCATTTATTCCTTATATTCAAACCA